CAGGCCAAGGCCCCCCGGCCCGCCGGCGGCAGGCGGCCGCGGCAGCACGCGGCAGCCCCTGCTCAGCGCCCTGCGCGTGCTGCACGCCCCACGGCACGCCGCGCCCCAGGGCACAAGCCCCGGCTCTGCCGTCCCCTCTCTGGACCAGGGCGGCTGCTCCGAGACCCCAGGCCTGAGCTCTGGGGTGGGTTTACAGAGCCACAGCGGCCTGCGGGCCCCACGGCGTGGGGATCGCGGCGTCTTCGGCTGGGCCCCTTCACTTCCTGGAGATGCCTTTTGCCTGCTGTGGGCTGCAGCGGGAGCCCAAGCCTCACACCAGGAGGACGCTCAGGCCCCCTGCACCCATGGGTGCTGCGGCCACCCCTTGGGCTGGCGGGGGCCAGAGACCTGCACTGGCAGCGTTTTCCCCCAGCAATGATGAAAACCTCAACCCGCCCCGCTGTGCTCCCAGATAACAACCTGTGCTCTTACGGCCATAATTCAGGAGGAGATGGGAACACGCCTGGAGCTTCAGCACATTAATTATGAACCACCCCATTCGCCCCGACCCTGGCCCTGCCCCTGCCTTGCCTGGCAGCACAGGAGCAGCGCCAGCAGCTATTTCTGCCAGTGTAAAATTAGCTCCATGGAAAGAGACATCGAGTCCCTGTGTCCTTGTCCTGGTTTCAGCTGGGATAGGGTTAATTTTCTTCCCAGTAGCTGGTACAGTGCTGTGGTTTGGATTTAGCATGCGAACAATGTGATAACACACTGATGTTTTAGTTGTTGCTAAGCAGTGTTTATACTAAGTCAAGGACTTTCCAGCTTCCCCTGCTCTGCCTGGTGCACAAGCAGCTGGGAGGGGGCACGGCCAGGGGGGCTGATCCAGGCTGGCCCAAGGGCTATTCCGCACCCTATGGCGTCGTGCTCCGTATATAAGCTGGGGGGAGCCGGCCGGGGGAGTGATCGCTGCTCGGGACTGGCTGGGCATCTGTTGGCGGGTGGTGAGCTGGTCTTTCCTGGGTTTTGTTCCTCTGTCTCTTTTGTTGTTTTCCTTTTCATTACAATTTACTATTTTTATTATTCTTCTTGCTGTAATTGTTATTATTTTATTTCAATTATTAAACTGTTCTTATCTCAACCCATGAGTTTTCTTACTTTCGCCCTTCCTGTTCTCTTCCCGTCCCACCGCGGGGGGAGAGCGGGTGAGTGGCTGTGTGGCACTTGCTTGCCAGCTGGGGTTAAACCACGACAGCCCTGCCCCAGGACCCTCGGGGAGCTGTGTCCCTGGGGACAGCCCCGTCCCCAACCCTGGGGAAAGCAACAGGGTATTGTCTGCAAGCACAGGGACTGCAAGGACCCTGAGCCACACGCAGGGCCGGGATTCGGCTGGGAATTTACTGCACAGGGAGGAGAGGGGGAGGCTCGTACCCGCCTGCACAGCCGTGCCCAGGGCCAGGACCCCCGAGCGCCCGCCCCCCAGCCACTGGCCCCAGCTCCCTCCCCTCCCCCCTGCCAAGCACCCTGCCCCAGCAACACCAAAGGGACACAGAGCCAAAGAGGCAGCGACCTGCAGCCACTGGCGAGGACCTCGGCTTTATTCCAGCCCCTCCAGCATCCCCTCCTGGTGGCTCTCACCGCCTGGCTACGGGGGCACTGCAGGGAGGCTCCGGGCTTGCAGAGATTCACCTCTGCAGAGATCCAGGCTTGCAAAACCTCCACCCAGCCAAGGTCTCGACGTGCTTTTTTGGTTATTTCTTTTTCCCATTTACCCACGAACCAGATGTGTTGCCTCCCCGTCGCCGTTGGAGTGGGGCAATGCTCGTGTGGAGGCTGGTGAAAGGCTGGGCCAGACCCTACGGGGTTGGTGAGAAGGGGCCGAGCAGGGCCAGGAGGAGCAGGGGGGAGAGGAGCTGGTGGTGGCCCCTGTGTGGGGACCTGCCACTGGCCGGGGCCGCCCTGGGGGGGAAGGCCGGCCCGGCGCGGGGGG